TTTAACATCATATTGTATTACATGCCAATTTTTATTCACAGCAATTATTAGTAGTAAGTACCATGTTTCTGTTCTGCATGTAGTTGAAAAGGTTTCTAAGAAATCAACACCAAATTTCTGATGAAAATCTTATATTATAATTTATTCATCTGGCTTTATATCTTATTGTCTTATTGTCATTTCTTATATGTGATTTTTTGATCATATCACTATTCATTATTGATTTTTGTTTAAAAACCTGTCTGCCTTTCAGTATATTTTGATTATTTGAGAACTTATCCACTATTCTATAAGTATTTTGCTTTTCAAGTTCTTTTATTTCTTCTTGACAAGCTTTAAAACATTCATTTTTATTCATAGCATTCATTGCTTTCCTATAGATATTTGGCTCATTAATTATAGTTGCAGTTAAAAGAAAATTAGCTTCAGAATTTTCTTTTTCTAAAGAGTTTGCAAAGTTTTTTAGTATGGTATCTTCAGTAGTGTACAGAGCTCTGTTATTGTTCACTGCATGAAACTTGTTGTTGATATCATATTTATTATTGTATGGAGGAATTTGAACTTCAATTCTTGAAAGTTGAGTGAATTTTAATTGATATCTTGATAAAGATCTAGATATATTCATTTGTTGATTTGGCAGAATAGAAAAATCATTGAGAGAATATTTAAATGTATTATCTGATTTAATTCAGAATGTTTATGTTTCTCTCTTATGAATTTCTTTGTAAGAAATTCATTTTCAAGTATTTGAACATCTTTAGTTCATAATGCTTTATGTTTATTGAAATTTCATATTTTATAGTATGTAAAATCACTGTATTCTATTAGAATTCCTCTTTCAGTTCTGGGGAATAATTTGTTGTGGTATATATTTTCATAGTAATAAACCATTAAATCCCACATTTTTATATATAAAAGCTTTGATTTCATATTGTATAATATCTTATATGAACTTTTATTTGCTAGAGATGTATGGGGAGTTCTATTATATATAAAAACAGCACTTTGTAAAGCTTCTCCTCAGAGGTATTTGGAACAATTTAACTGAATCAAGTATGCTCTGACTTTATTCATCAATGTGAGATTAATTCTTTCAATTACACTATTTGGTTCTTTAGTATTTGGTGGAGTTTTATTATGAATAATACCAGCTTTATCACAAATTGATTTCATTTGGTTATTCACATATTCTTTTCCATTATCAGTGAAAAATTCTTGAATTTCATAGCTGTGGTTGTTATTTTCAACCATTGCTTTGTATCTTAAAAAGACTTCACTTATTTCATCTTTAGATTTCAAAAGCATTATCCATAAGTATCTGGACTTTTTATCCAAGAAAGTAATATAGTATTTATATTTATTATATGTGGAGACCAAAAGTCCATCAAGATCACTATGAATTCTATTAAGAACTTCATAATTTCTTGTATTGATGGATATTTTATTTGTCTTTCTGAAATTTTTTGATTATAAGCATATTTCACATTTATTATTCAGAAATTCTTTTATTTCTCTGTCAGAAATTTTAAGACCTTGTTCATTCAAGATAATGTTTAATGAAACTATATGAATATGTCCCATTCTTGCATGCCATTTATATAATTCTGATTGTGATTGATTATTCACAGTGTGTATGTTATTGCTATACAAGACATTAGCTTTAAAAATATATAATCTGTTTAGTTTTCTTCCATAAGCAAGTGGTTTATGGATTTTATTCAAGAGAATTACTTTATTATTATCAAATAAAAACTTGAAGTTGGGTGATTTATGAATACTCAATAAATTCAATCCCAACTCTGGAATATAATACACATTTTGTATTAAGTATTTTATTCCACATGCAAATTGTATTAGAACATTTTCTTGATATTTAACATGAAGCTTTTTGGCTTTATTTCAGCCAACAGTAGCATCAATTTGTTCAAAAGATTGAAAATAACTCTTGTTACAAATTGTATTAATAGTAGCAGCACTGTCAATCACAAATTCAATGTTTGTTTTTATATTATTCAAATCAGGTGAAAATTCTGACATTATATTACTAACTGCATTTATGTTTGAAATGTTCTTCATGGGTAAACATATCTCATTCATGTAGATGTTATAGAAATTCTCATTTTGAAGCATATTAATTTCTTCAGTTTGTAAATCAACTTGTTGATTATTATTGGTATTATTTTCAAGTTCCAAATTGATATTGGTTGAATCAACATCATTATTATCAGAAGATGTTGCATTTATATCAGACAAAGATGTAATTGAAGCTTCTTGCTTTTTGTTTTGCTTCTTGAAAGAATTTTGTTGTTTTTGATTGAATGAATTTTGTTTTTTATTCTTTTGAACTTTCCAATTCTATGGAGCTTTATCTGGAAAGAGAAAGAAGAATTTATCAGTCATATGACTTATTAATTTGCAGTACTGACAGTATTTTCCATTTGAAAGTTTTTTATAAGAATGTTTTGAATTCTTTTTGTTTCTTTTTTCATTGACATTTAAAATATTACTTTGTCCTTTTTCTCTTGTCTCATCAATAAGTGTCATTGAGATCAGAGAATAAGTTTTCAATGGTATAAGAATGAGAATCTTTTCTCAAAGTTTGAATAACATTTGCAATGAAATTCTCTGACATTTCATATGATGTAATATCATATTGTGATGTAATTTGCCATCTCAATTTATTATTCTTTCCTTGATTAATAATTTATACAAGCAATACTATGATGGTAATCTTATTGCTGTAACTCTATTAGCAAATAAAGTTTGAAATAAATCTTTATAGAATAAGATTTGAACTAATCTCACAAAAGTTATAGATCAAACTTTATATTTAATCAAGATTTATGTATATGACTCTGTAAATGTTATGAAAGTTATACATGTTATACACATGATCACATTTTATATAAGACAATATATAGTATATAAATTTGATTATATTTGAGAATGTTATATTCTCACATTGAACATCTGCTACATTGAAGATATTTTATTAAAAAAATATGCATGAAATAAAGCATTATTCTTCTGTACTAGAGTATTATAATAATTCTGCATGCATTTAAGTGCAAACAGAATCAATTTTGACTTCAAAATCAACTGAATAGATCAGTAAAATAGAATAATAAATATATATGAAGATTTACTAATTTTTTAATATCTATATCAGTCAATCTCTTCTTTACTGTTTTATATAAGCTTGTCATTCTTTACTATAAATCTTCATTGAGACTTACATTCACTCTTTCTTTAACAATCTAGTCACTTCATCTCACAGTTAAGTTTTTATTCAGTTTTGCAAGCAGACTCACAGTCAGCATTTAATTAATTTTAAATATGATACAGATTCTTCTTGTCATATAAAAAACAATTTCAGAACATAAATTCAGAGTAGTTTTTTCAGCAGTTTCAAATACAGATTTTGTTGAATTTTTCTGACACTCTTCTTCATATTTGTACATCTTCTTCTCACTGGCTCATAATAACAGAGATATCATCACTTTAAATAACATTTTTTCAATTTTCTATCATTCAGTTCTTATATTTTTCACATAACTTCATTTATGCCTGTTTAACTTTAATAAAAAGATCAGATTTATAAGTAGATTTAATATTTTGAAATTTATGCTTTTTAGAAACTCAATGAACTGTATAAGAACTAAGTTCATAATTATATACTAATATTTTAGTTGAGCTTTTCTGATCTAATTAATCTCTTCTTATATTCTTTATATAGTATAATCTACTGTTTCATCTCTTCAAAGATTTTTTTTAAGTGATCTGAACACTCTTCATGCTCAATATACTCTGAAAATATACAGAGATTAACTTCATAATTAAATTTTTATTCATAAACTTATCATTTGATCTTCTTCAGAGTAGAAACAGAAATTTGAGTGATTTTAAAAATCTCAGTAACAGTATAGTCAACAGAGAGAAGAGTAAGAGCTTGAATCTTTACTAAAAGAGAATAAAATTTAGTGAAAGATATGATTAACTTCAAGTAGCAATTAAATAAAGCTTCTACTTGCTATATGAAAGCTTGTTCAAAGCTTCTACTTCATGTACAAAAAATATAAAGCACACAGAGTAGAGATCAAGCTCTTCATACAAAAACATTTTTAAAGCTTGAACAGAAACCAAAAGGGGACTTCTTTTCAGCCTGATTACACTAGTCTACAGTAATTATGTTGTATGCATTTGGAAATATTACAGCCACTAAGCCCCTGAGGACCAAAACTTTTGGCGGCGACCTCCGTACATAGTGGTTACTCATGGCTATGTTGCCACTACTGTAACATTACAGTATTCCACAGATCTGGAATTCCGCGGGTATGGTGAACCTGGAAGATCACCTGACTTGTTCTTTGCCTGCTCAACACGTAAGCCACATCTATGAATTCGCCAGTCATCTTCTGTCTTCTTTTTGGACATTCTATTCCTTCGACTGATTTGCTCACCTCATGAGAATTTTTTTACTTCCACCCTACGTATCAACTTTCCCGCTGCTTCTATAGCCATCATGCGATTTCAGCCTGTGACTTTTCTCGTTGCCATTATTTCCACAGCACATGGGATCTGTGCGTCTGAGATCCCTTCAGACCTTCCCGTCGCCTCCTTAATATCAACAGCAAAATCTCACCTAGCAAATGGCTCTCCCCGTGACGCACTCCTGTACTTTGACGCCGCTATCATGAAGGACCCCACGAATTATTTGACAATATTTCAACGCGGAGCAACTTATCTATCGTTAGGAAGGAGTTCAAAAGCCATTGAAGATTTTAATCGTGTTTTGATACTCAAACCAGATTTTGAAGGAGCCCTAATGCAGCGAGCTAAAATTCGCACGAGAGGTGCTGACTGGATTGGCGCAAAGCGTGATTTACAGGCTGCAGGCAAACTTGGAACTTCTGAAATGGAGGAGATAGAAGAAGCTGAGAAAGCCTCTATTGCAGCCGAAAAGGCAGAAACACAAAGCAATTGGGAGGCATGTGTCTCCCAAACCGGTATAGCTATTCTGAAAGCAAGTGCTTCGTTACCTCTTCGTCAACGCCGAGCAAGGTGTCGATTTGAAAGAGGTGAAGTCCAAGAGGGTATCCATGACCTTGCACATGTCTTGCAGATATCCCCTGGGTCCTTACAACCGCATCTTGCCATATCCGCAATGTTATTCTATTCTCTAGCTGATACAGACCGTGGCATATCTCAAATACGCCAATGTCTTCATTCTGATCCAGACTCAAAAGCTTGTAGCCGTCTTTTTAAGAGGGAAAAGAAAATCTCCAAAGTACTTCACTCTCTCGATATACTATGGGAACAGAGGAAGTTTAGTAAAGCGGCCGAATTGCTAGTGGGCTCTAAAGGAGAGAGTGGATTAATCCAGGATGTGAAGAGTGAAATAAGCCTAGCTCGTGACGAAGGGTATATTCATCGCAAGGCACCTGATAAGCTCCATGGCCTGTTGCTTGAGAAAGCTTGTGAGGCATATCGAGAAGTGAGCGATTTTTGAAAGAAAGTTTGTTTTTCGAAGAAAATATGCTAACTGCTTGCTTTTATTCCTAGATGAATTCGAAGCGCAAAGCCAGGCCTCTCTGTTCCCAAGCTCTAGAACTTAACCCAACCTCCCTCCACGGCCTCTTGTGGAAGGTGGAGAATCAAATAGACTTAGATGAGTTCGAAGCTGCCATTAAAACCCTTAACGTAGCTGCTGAGAGTCACCCTGATTCGCACCAAATTCGAACTTTATATCAAAAAGCGCAGCGGCTACTAAAACAATCCCAGCAAAAGGATTATTATAAAGTATTAGGTGTTGATCGTGAGGCTGATGATGCAGTAATCAAGCGAGCTTATCGCAGACTTACTAAGCAGTATCATCCTGATAAGGTTATTTCACAAGGCGTGACAAAAGAAGAAGCAGAGAAGAAAATGGCCTCTATTAATGAGGCATATGAAGTTCTTTCTGACCCTGAACTAAGAGGACGTTTTGACCGGGGCGACGACCCAAACAACCCTGAAAGCCAACAAGGGAATCCATTTCAGGGTAGTCCATTTGGACATGGAGGGCAACAGTTCTTTTTTCAGCAGGGCCGAGGTGCGCAGCAGTTCAAGTTTGAGTCACAGGGATTTGAATTCCCTGAGGGATTTTCTTTTGGATAGCTTCTGGAATGTTACTTTTATAGCATAAGTTGCTGCTGAAATACTTGCTTTTGATGTTAGTGATATTGCTGTAGGGTGGCAGGCTTAAGAGGTAGGTGGTAAAGGTCAATGTATCAAGCTTACACTGTGTAAGAAAGAGTAAAAATGTAGAGTGGCAGGCAGCCTATAAGATAGGTGCAAAAGAACATGTATCAAGACTACAATGTAAGAAAGAGAACTAAGTTGCACTTATAGTATCAAACTAGTATTGCTATATGTGCAGTAAGAGAAGAACTCATCACTCAGAAGACTGAGGATTGGATGGTGCAGATAACATGGCAATGGTTTACAGCCTTCATAAGTGAGATTAGATTGGGTGAGAGATGGTTACAAAGAGATTGAAGCATGAGAGAGAGAGGTAACTTATATTGCTACAACAGCATCTAGAGTCTCTAGATATGTTGTCACTGATCTTCATAAAGAAGCATCTGTGACAGATTTTGTGTGTTCAGCTATGCTAATGAGATCATGTGATCAGTTATGAGATTTATGAATCTGTTGAGCAGGAGTCAGGTGACTTGTCAGGTGACCAGGTCTCTGAAGGAGGAATCAGAGAACTGTAGGTTCGCCACCTCCTCTTCTCAACCACAGTACCAATTTCATTATCTTTGTCTATTGGGCTGGTGGAGGTTTGCTAGGGGTTTTTCATATGTTTTTCCCATAGTCTTGATTATAGCATGTTTGTCTATAAGTATTCATGTCTTGTTCATTAGAAGCAAGATCAGATGCAATATTATAGACACTCAGTCACATGATCATCATGTGCTTCTGTGTTGTCTGATAGTTATGAGCCTGGGCTCTTTCAAGAATTTGGTTGTTATCTAAAGATATGTTCAAGATACTTTATTTTACTCTTGTTACTCATACAAATAGAGGTCACTATTAAGTATCTTGAGATCATACATTGAACCCCCTATTTAAGCTTAAATCTTAATTGCAGAGTTCACAGAGATCTAACACATCTATATAATTTTTACTGATCTAAGTCTATGGAAAACCATAATCTAGGGTCAACATCTCACTTCAATAATTAATTAAAAATGAATGAATTGTCTAGAAGAGTTGTTATGCTGAATAGTTCTGATAATTGAGAAGAATGAATTGAAGACATCAAGCATTTAGCAAATCTTCATCAATTGTGATCATACATTGATCTGACAAAAGAAACACATCCCAAACTTTAAGAATTCATTATAGAGGATTTTCTTTCTTCTGAGAAAACTGAAGAAACTGCAACTTCTGCAGATACAAAACATGCAAGAAATATGCAAAGAGATCAATACAGAACTTGGAAGAAGAGAGTCTTAGTGATGCAAGAGCTACAGAAGACAATAAGAGACTGTGTAGATCTGTTTCTGAGAATTCTTATAATAAGTGAATTAGATGATGTAGAAGCTACTGCAAAAGAACATCTGAAAGCTCTATATGCTAGAAATGCAGTGAATGCTTCTCAATTGAAAGCTAGACTAGTAGAGAGATTCAAAATTCTAGAAGATGAGTCAAAGAATCAAGCAATCAAAGTGTATTTGCTGAACTATGAAGAAGCATTAAATCAGACTACTGTGTATGATATGTGCAAATATATCCACAAGTTTTTTGTCTCCAAACAATTTCTGAGAGCAATCTCTCAGAATTACAGAGAGTTCTTCTATATGTATCTGTCAAAGCTTCTAACTGAAGAGAATTTGAATCAGAAGCATGAGCTGGATGTTTATAGACATATTTAAATATTTTGGCAGACATTAAAGAAGAATCCTGAGCCAGGCCAACAGAATAAGTCATCAGCATATTTCACCAAAAAGATAGTTCAAAATAAGCTGTTGGGGGAGAATAATGAAAATACAAACTCTGCATGTCTTTGCAGAGAGCACCATGGTTGGGCATACTGTTCATATTTTAATCCACTTGTTCAATCAATGGGCTGGAAACTGGATCCAAAAATTGATAATAAGGTCAAGAAAGCATTGAAGAATCCAGTGAATGAAAGAAAATTAAAGAAAAAGATTGCAAATTGAAAGAAATTGAAGAATTTGAATACTACTGAAGAAGTTAGTGCTTCAGACAATGTGACAGACAGTGGTGCTAATAAAGCTGTTGCCAAGGCATCCCCTAACCCAACTCTCTTTGCTTTCATAATGGTTTTTAACTTCACTAACATGAGCAATAAATATGAACCCTATTCATTATGGGACAGCTTCATATTAGATGGGGGTGCAGATGCACATATTTGCAATGATTTTACAAGATTTTAGAACTACCAGAATGCTGGTTCTTTGGATATTGTGCTTGTTGGAAATACTCATTGTAAAATTCATGGATATGGTGATGTTGAAGTTTATATCCAAATGCTGGCAGGTGCTGGCAAGATATTACTAAAGAATGTTCTCTATGTTCCTGGCTTTCATACAAATCTAGTAGTGCATGGATTGCTGCATGTAAAGAATTGTTATTTGGATGATGAGTCTCTTATGGTTTACTACATCAGCATAAGAGATATCTTGTTCAATTTGACTGTTAAAGAGAGAAAAATGGTTGTTGAATACAGACCTATTAATGTTGCAACAGACAGTATAACAAAGAGTGTTTTTACTGCCTCATTGGGTGGAGATTTGATTACAAAACTGTTGATGGCATTGGTCTTCAGTTCACTAGAAACAATGGATATTTGGCATTTGAGACTTGGTCATCTAGAAAGAGAGTCTCTGACTCATCTTCCAAAGATGTCTACTGACATGAAATTTGCAAAGATCCCTCAGAGTTCTCTAATGATGAAGTGCAGATCTTGCACTCTTTCAAAAGCAAAGCAAATCATACACAGAACACTGTTGAAAAGATCTACACACTCATTCATGAAGATGTCTGTTGATCTCATACAGTTTGCTCCAGATTATAATGGAGATAGGTGGGTGGTTCACTTATATTGTGATTATACCCACCTGCACTACATGGAAATGATGCAGCAAAAATCTGAAAGTTTGATGTGCACAGTAAAAATGATAAGAGTAATTCTCAATTTATATCAATTGACTATCTTGACTATTTGAATTGATGGAGAAACCTCTATGCAGTCAGAACTGACAGCATTGACTCAAACATATGATATAGTTGTTCAACATTCAGCACTCTACACACCAGCTCAAAATGGAGCTGTGGAACATGTGGGAGCTTTAATAATGATGGCAGCACATACAATGCAGATTGAAGCCAACTTGTCTGAGAATTTGTGGCCAGAATGCATCAAGACTGCAGCATATATTTTAAACAGAATTCTGATTAAAGATCTTGATTGGAACACTTCTCTTGAATTCTTAGGAGAATATCTTCAAACTGCAACTTCTTTAACTGAAATTAGGCATATAAGAGTTTTTGGCTGTAGAGCATATCCTTTAATTAAGAATGCACAATACAGAAGAAATCAGAAGCTGGCTTCTAGAGCAGAAGTTGGATATTTTGTTGAATATGAATCAACAAATATTTTTCACATTTGGATTCCAGTATGATGAAAGGTTATATTAATGAGAGACATTATATTTGATGAAGATATGCTATTTGATTCTAATGAGATTAGCAGTGAGCTTTTATTACAGAAGAGCTTCATTGTGCCAGATATGATATCTTTTGTTAAAGTAAGTGATATTAATAAGATGAGCTTGAGTGAGCATGACAGTGAAGATGAAGACTCTGAGAAGAACACACCATGTGAAAGTCATGAGACTGTTGATCAGTCAATAAGATCAATGGAAACAATGACTAAGACACTAACTGATCAATCAGAAAAGACACATGCATTGCCAACATCAGAGTCTACATCAGAGCTGTTGACTCCAGACACCTACACTCAATCTCTTTCAGATGGTCCAACAACATCATTGACTGAAATAGAGATGCTGAATCAACTTTCATTGACAGTCAATCATTCTGCTGCAGAAGCTACAGAGGCAGTGAGTGATGTTGTAGTTAAGCCATCTGAAGATATAACATCTACTACACTTTCTGCCACTAGCTCTACAGAAGTGGTGAGCACAAATGATGGACAATTAATAGCCAATTGTTCTGCTGCAGAGACAGTGAGCACTAATGATGGAATTTTGACAGTCAATTGTTTTGCCATGAAAGTGGTAAATGACTCAGCTGGAGCAAGCTCAAACAAGCAATCTCCACCTTCTAGATGAAGTGCTAGAATAAGATGCCAAAATGCAGATTGAATTGACAGATGAACAGCTTATACAGTGATTCTGCAGCAAACAGTGCAATTCAATTCTTTTTATAGAGACTATTTAACAGCTTTTACAATTATGAATTCTAGACTTCACAGAAAGAATCTTCCAAAGTCTTCAAAGCATTATTTTTCAATGTTGCAACATCCCCATGCTGATGACTTTAAGATCATCATGGATGTGGAAATGGAGAAGCTACAAACAAAGAAATGCTTTGAAGAAGTAGAGAGCTTGGAAGAAATATGTCCAATCTCTTTAATGTGAATTTATATGTACAAATTTGATGTTAATGGTTTTTGGAATGATATAAGACAAGACTCATTTTTCACAGAGATCTGAATACCAATAATAAACATGACATCTATGCTGCTACACTTGCTGTGCAGATATTTCATCTTTTAATGGCTATAACAGCTTATTTTGAAATGGAGACCTTCCAGATTGACACTGTTAATGCATTCATTAATGCTTCATTTGATAAATCTGTTTATTGCAGACCAGCAGAGAGTTATGGTAAGAAAAGAGATGTTTGGAAGATTCTATGTGTCTTATACAGTCACTCTGAATCTTCATGACTTTGGTACAAAGACCTCACTTCAACACTCTGAGAGCTAAAATTCTGTCAGATTTGTGAAGAATCATGTCTATTTGTTGGTAAGAATATTATTATCTTCTTTTATGTGAATGACATAGTATTTTTATATCACAGGAAGGATGTTGGAACATTTGAGCAGTTATTGAAGA